CACAAGTCTTTTGTTTCAAGCTTTGCTTGAAAAGGCACAGAGTTCAGACAGCAGTGGTCCAACTTGCTCGGAGAGCAGCTGAAAACAGTGCAGCACTAGTGACACCTCTCACAAAATGGTGCCAATACTTGTTTGGTCTATATTTCCTTCATTCACAGGCATTAGTGAGAAAAGATTGTGTAGCGGGCTCCCATTTGAAAACGCCATTCCGCAATTTTTGGAAGAAGACATTTCGACGTGGCTTTCCGAGGAAGAAGACTTGACCCCACCATGTTCGAAGCAGCCGTTCCTGCCTGGGCATCAGTTGCCCAGCCCAGGCGTGAAGTTTATGGCGCGCCAGGGTTTTGGCCCAGGGCTCCCATGCTCTGCAGCTTTTTGCGAGGGTTCATTCTAATCAGTTGCGGGGCGGGGTGAATTTCGTCTTGTGAGAGCTTTTTTTTTACTGATCTTCAAGTCGGTGCGTAGCGCCGCGATCCACTTTCAGCCACAAAGCACGAGTGACGTTCAGCGGCGATTTTTTGAACAACGATGTGCTCACACACACACGGTTTCGAGTATCGAAGCTACGTTGTTTGGACGTGACATGTACATATGGTTTGGTATGTTCATGAAAAGCGCAACTGTCCATGAAACTTAGGACTGCGCCCTCACTTGCCTTGTTAGCCCTCTGCCGTTTGCTGGTGATAGTTGCGCGCAGGTGGCAGACTTTCGGCCGAGCAATCGGCCACAGTGAGTCGTATTTTTGATGGCGCATCGCAGACTCTTCGATTTGCCGCGCCAAGATTTTCCCATATAAGCAGAAGGTAGCAATCTTCAACCACTGTTTAAGTATCGATGACCCCGTGCGCCGAGAGCGGGGGCTGCTGGAGGGGCACCAGAGAGAGAGAGAGAAGTGCGTCGAAAATGCAGGAGATGCTAGGCTTAGGGCAGCCACGGTAGTTGTGTTTTAAATTCTTTTAGGTGTGGATTGAGGCGGGGTGGGTTGATGGAAGTTGGTGACGAGTGACACTGTTGCGTTTGTCTGGGGGGGTGTCTCTGCATGGCAGCAGTTGCCATCATGGTGTTTGCGGTTGTGGCACGGGTACTAGGCGTACAAGTGGGTATGGCTGGTGGAGGGATTCTGTTTGCAAGCAGCATCGTGGTGGTTGTGTTTGTACGGGCGTGTGCCTGTACATGGGTATGAGTGACTGCAACGATGGTAGAAGAAGAATTGCTGGGGAGGTGGCAGGGGTGTCGACGGACAGGGGACTCATCCTAGCACAGACAGTGGTAGGTTTTATTTCACCCCGAGGATTCTTCGTTCATAGCGAACACCGGATCTTTCGGGTGCCCCAGTGAAGAATCCAAGTGTTTCAAACCAAAGCATTTTAATAATGTTCTTTTTGAAAGACTAGATGATCCCTTCTTCCTAGAAGTGCAGGATTTCACTCCGACAATGCCTCGCTCATAGCGAACACCCGATAGTTTGGGCGACAAGAGTTCCAGCGGCGTCATTTGCTCACATGTTCTCCGGGTGTTTATTCCAAAAGTATCTCCGACGCTTGAACTCCATGTTGCATCCTTCCACTCGCAAACAAAAATGGTACTACGTAGACGCTGCAAGTCCCCAAAGCACAGTTAATTTTAGTGCTACTGTAGCTGGAGCCCTCTTTGACGCTTATGGAATCAGAGCGCTCAGGGCTCCTGGCCTCTTCTAGTGCAGAGGAAGATGCTGGTGAATGTGATATGCTCATGGCTTCTAGCGACACAGAGTCAAATGGCTTGGCCATTTCCTCGGCAGCGAGGAGTAATTCAAACAGTGAGCTCTCTGGATTCCTTAGAGAAGATGAAGAGGATGACTGTATGCAAAGCAGTCCTGCCGTTTTACTAGCGGCGAGGAGCAGTTCAAACAGTCAGCTGTCTGGTTTCCTGATGGATGATGAAGAGAATGACCATGTAGAAAGCATTCCAGACGTGCCCCAAGCCGCCAGGCTTCCAGAAGCTTTTCGCTGGGCGATTCACGTGTTGCAAGTGTTGCCGTGTCTGATAGGGGAAAAGCTGGTGCGGGAGTCCATCGCAACAGAAACTTTGAATTTTTCAACACATTGCTCTGGAATTGGCGCTCCGGAGGTGGCAGCAATGTTTCTGACATGCGCCAGCAGGGTTACTGGGCCCTTTCCGTTGCAGCTGGTATCCTCTGCCATGTGTGACAACCTGGTGCAAGCCAAAAACATCCTTTGCAAGAGATGTGGATACACAGCCGGAAAGAGAGGAGCAGACTCAGACCCCCATGTCTTCGGTGACATTTTCGAATACGCGCCACACTGGGAGCGTGATGTGAGCAACCCGGAAACAGCGATGAGTGCACTAGGTGGTGCCATGGATGCCTTGCGACCCAGACATTGTTCACGGCATGAACAGAATTGCATTATGCCAGACATCTCTGGGGATATTTCGGGCACACCATGCCCTCCATGGAGCAGACGAGGCAAACGCCGACAATTGCGTGACCCGAGAGCTGCAGTAACCTTTGTTTGGATGGCTTTTGTCCTTTCGATGGACTTGTTGTGGGCCATTCATGAGAATGTGCACGGCTTCCGCACAGATCTCATAGACACCCACATGCAGCATGCATATTGGATTTGGCACTTGAGTCTGCATCCTCGCGATGTGGGGTTCCAATGTATGGGCCGGCCCCGGCTTTATACACTTTTGATCTCAAGACGGCTGCGTATCCTGAGGACGCCTACAGAGATGCTTGAAAAACTTCGACCACTACTGCAAGCACGCTTGCCTCAACTTCGTGTTGAAGACATCATGACAGCAAGTGATGCTGAAGTTGTGGCTTTTGAAAACGAGCTTCGACGTAGAAAAGGTTTGGAGCCAATCCTCCAAAGCAGCGCGTGTTGGGAATATTTGCTGAGTCCCTCGCAGTCCAAGCTGCTAGGCTTTTAGTGGAAATTTGTTTTAGTGTTGTAGTGCGGTTTGGAGGCATAGATCGACAAACCTACCCACCGACCTCGTTGTGTTTGAAACATCTTTGGGTGTTGTAAGCTTATAGGAGACACATGGCCATCAGACCATCTCCTTGGGTTTTTCCCATACGCCTGTTAGGTTCCTGCGTGGCTATGAGAAGTTATGGATCAAAAAGTACAATGCGAACTCACGAGATGACCCTTGCTGCATCTTTGATCTATCGCAAAACCCCTTCAAATGTCCGAGCATGACGTCCAAGACTGGTGCGGCTCCATGTGTGACGGCAACTTTTTGTGCTTTGTGGCACGCATCTCTTCAGAGGTTCGTGCTGCCGATAGAGCTGGCCATAGGCCACGGCTTTCCTTGCCTACAAAAGTTGGCTCGCTCGGCTTGCGTTCCGCAAGACGAGTGCACAATGCTGTACACAGTCCCTTTGATTGGAAACTCCATGAATGTGGCCTGTGCAGGCTTAGCCTTAGCCTTGACAGTCATGTGTGCAGCCCGACCACAAAGATAGACGCCAGAGAAAAAGTTTCTGGCACAGCATTGAACGTGCAATGCAAGGGCTTCCTGGTGCCTCAGTCGATGGGGCACAATTTCTTTATTCTTCGTGTATGTGTGTTGAGGCTGCGAAAGGATTCAACCTGAGAAAGAGAGAAGAAAATGGAACAGATCAAAAAAGAGACGGAAAGAGAGAGAGAGAGAGAGGACATAGAGGAATAAAGACATCGAAAAAAGAAGACGTATATTACAGAATTGTGGGTCCTGGCCGGTCTGGGGAGGGCTTTGCTTCCCCAGACGAAAAAGCAAGGGAGTACGGTTCCCCACACAGAGTTACAGAAAAA